ATATACAAAATGTTTATTGCCTCGAAAACTGATCCTATGCAAAATTTGAGCTCAATCGGACATGATTTAGGGGTGGCGCAAACGTGTCAAAGTTTGACTTTTTTCACTCTCGAAAATCTCCCAAGGGGGGGGGGGGGGGTACATGAAATTTCGGAAATCGATTTTTTTTTTCATGACAAATGTCTTAAAAATGCATGAAACGTCGAGATTTGGTGTTATCTCGAAAAAATTTATTTTTTCAAAAATCGACTTTCTTGGACTTATACGAAATAATTCACTAGGGTGGTTCAATTATTCTTCATTAGGGTGGTCCAAAAATCAAAATAGGTATGTGAAAACCATGACTTTTTACCAAACGCATGTATCTGAAAATATCATCAAGTTGTGTTTTGGAATTTTTAAGAATCCAAACTTCAAAACATTCGATGATATTACTTTTTAGTATCTGAGACCACGTAAAATAGAAGCATAGACAGACATAAATCGTAGAATAATTCCGGAAATTGTACAGGACAACCGTTAGTGCTGTTTAGTTTACAGTACAATCTGACGAAAGTACAATGACTTTTTAACATATCCACCTTATACGGGACAACCCTTTATATGTGTTTCTTTTAAATTCCTACCCTTTAGAGGTGCCAAAAAAAGTACCCGCATAAAGCATATTGTTTATCTGGCTTCCTTTTGGGTATTAATTAAAAAACACACACTTACAGTGTTCTCCTACAGGCAGCAACGGTCTCAAGTACTTATTTCTACGTAAAATTTTCTACCTTGGCTTTTTCTACCTACGCTTTAGTGTAAAAAAGGATGCGATCTGAGGATGTATGATCAATCAGTAGTGCGTTTGAAGAAGACAACAAGCAGAGAACTGATAGAGAATAGTACGACAGTTTGTTAAAAATGGTTGACGTTTGGCTAGTTGGAGAATATCTGCCGTCGTTCGGCCATTCTGTTAACTTGCCAGCGTATAGTGAAGTTTTTCGTAAATATATGTTTCATTTGCGTGCTGAAAAAAATGTTGTAAGCTTAGTGCCTTCCTAACAATAAAGGAATTAAAGGATGCTTGGAAGAAAAAAACTTAACACATTTGGTAAATGACGTAAGCATACCTGGAAAGCCTTATTAAAATGCAAACTTAGAATGGCTAAGAAAGACGTCGAAAAAAGGAACACATTTCATGGATCATTGCGGAGTTTGTTTGATATCGGGAAGAATTTTAAGGCAAAAACCCGTGAAGAAAAGCAGGCGATGCAATATTTGCAAAAACAGCGGAAACAAGCTCATCTTGAAGAAGAAACTGAGGTTCTCCCTACCAATGAAACCATTTCGTGTAGCGATTTTGAGGAAGAAGGGTCAAGCCAAAGACCGGATCAAATTTGTAGTGCAACCTCAATTGAAACACCATCACAAAACGACAGCCAGGCTGGGTCAGTGTACTCGCCTAGTACATCCGAAAGAGCTTCTCCAAAAACAGGTACGTTGTGATGTTTTACTAATGTTTTTTTTTCTTTTAGATTATACACCTATTACCATCCATATTAATATATTTTGAATGTTTTAGGTTCGCCAAAACCAGCTTTGACACGTAAATCGCAACTGATACGAGTTGTTACAGTTGAGGTAGCTGCTGTATTGGACCGCTGTAAAGTGAGTGATCGAAATGCTGTGTTTCTAATATCATCGATCGCTAAAGCTTTAGGGCACGATGTTTCATAATTATTGTTGAACAAGGAATCTGTCAGAATCGCCAAAGCAGGAATTCGCTTACAAATGCAACATGATTTAAAAGCGTCGTTTAAGCCAGATATAAATTTAACAGTACATTGGGATTCTAAGCTGCTACCTAACATATTACCATCCAAAGCTCTACCAAAAACCGAGCGCTTGGCCATAGTTGTATCAGGCGAAGGCATTAGCAAATTATTGGCTGTTCCACCCATCGAAAACTCTACGGGGGCACAACAAGCAGAAGCGGTGTACAATGCAGTCGTCGAATGGGGGCTTGCGGACAGGTATGATCTTAAATCTTGTATGTTCACCTCAGAATTCTGACTATTTTATCTTTTGTTTTCAGCATTATGTTTACATCTTTTGATACTACTGCATCAAATACCGGTAGAAAAAAAAATGCGTGTCAGTACCTGGACAAATTGTTTAAGAGGCAGCTTATAGGCCTCCCTTGTAGACACCACATACATGAACTGCTACTTGGCAAAGCTTTTAAAATTCTGAAATTTGAAACGTCAAAGTCTCCAAATGTTGAGATTTTTAAGGAATTCCAATCAAAATGGCACATTTTGGAAAAGACTTCATACCACTCAGGTATGGATGATGATTTTTTTAAAATAGCTATTTCGGAAATAGAAAGATTGGCGTTATTGGAGTTTTATGAAAAACAAATTAGAGAGCAACACCACCGTGGTGATTACCGAGAGGTTCTACAATTTGCCATTTTATATTTGGGTGGAAAAATCGATGAAAAATTACAAATAAGAGCTCCTGGTGCGTTCCACAATGCAAGGTGCATGGCCAAAATCATTTATTCTTTGAAAATGTTTATTCTTCGGCATGAATTTGCTTTACCAGTTAAAACTAAAAATCAACTAGCTCGATTTTGTGTGTTCATTGTAAAAATTTATTTGAAAAGTTGGTTTCTTTCTCCGTGTGCTGCGATGGCACCCAACAACGATCTGAAGCTGTTAAAAATATTGAAGGAATATGAAACTGTTGATGAAGACGTTGCGAAAGCAGTACATAAAGGAATTTTAACTCACTTGCAATATTTGGACAACAGCCTTATCGGACTATGTCTTTTCGACGAAAATGTAGACCTCCCGGTTAAGAAAAAGGTCATCGAAGCCTTACTTCTGTCAGGTAAATGCTTTAATTGATACATTTGCATTTAATTTTCTAATGATTTTTTTTTACAGATACTCATAAAAACATTACAGCCAGATCCATTGTTGAATCCAACGATATTTCAACGATTGAACTACACTCGTTTGTACAAGGCAGCAGTGGTATTGAAAACTTATTCAAAGCTCTCCAAATTCCGAAGTCGTTGCTGAATGCCGATATGGAGCAGTGGAGTAGTTCCATCGAGTCTAAAAATGCCAAAAGACGGGTTCAATGTTTGGAAGTAGTTAATGATAATGCAGAGCGTGGTATAGCATTGATTAAAACATACAATTCAAAACTATCAACGGATGAAGATCAAAAGCAGTGCATTTTACTATTAGTTGAAGATCATCGAAAAAAATATAAGAGTACCAGGAAATCTGATAATGATCTAATAAGAAAATATATGGCAAAGTATAAAACAAGTATTTTTTTCATCTTTTCAGGCAAATGTTCCTCTTGTGTAAAACTCATGATTCCCAAAAAAAAAACAGATTAACGCAATGCAAGATATTTTTACAATTGATTTTAGGAATTTCTGATGAAAAGTTGTGGTTTTTCATATATTTTTGAATTTTTGGACCACCCTAATGAAGAATAATTGGACCACCCTAGCGAATTATTTTGTATTAGATCCTAAATGGTGGTTTAATTCGATATATAAGCACGTTGGAGACAATTGTGAACAGTTTTAGAAGCCGACTCATCAATCTTCCATATTCCATATAGAATTCGATTTTTGAAAAAAATATAGAAGTCGATTTTTGAAAAAAAAAATTTTTTCGAGATAACACCAAATCTTGACGTTTCATGCATTTTTAAGACATTTGGCATCAAAAAAAAATTTTTGATTTCCGAAATTGCATGTACCCCCCCCCCCTTGGGAGATTTTCGAGAGTGAAAAAAGTCAAACTTTGACGCGTTTGCGCCACCCCTAAATCATGTCCGATTGAGCTCAAATTTTGCATAGGGTCATTTTTCGAGGCAATAAACATTTTGTATATGGTTTGTTAGCGAAATTAAAATTTACCATTTTCGCTGGCAGTCTAGTAGACAGTTTAGAGGGGTTGGCAATTATCCACGGCCCATAAAAATTAAAAAAAAAATTGTATGGCAATTGTCTACGCAGAGGGAGTGGGGGATCACAAATCCGGAAAAAACCGTCTACGTAGTTAATGAACAGCCCCCAAGTACAAAGGTAGTGGATTAGCATTCACCACGGAAAGTGTTGTGGTTTGATTGCATCGGGACACTAACATCTCTGCCGGCTTGAGATTGATTATTTTCTGCTCAGTAAACAAAAACGGTTTCTGCTAGGTCACCGAGCTCTTCGTATAGCTTGTTCGAAAATTGTTATGATCACCGTTTATTTGATACACCTGCTTTTTCCTCTTCTTAACACAGCACCCAATGCGTTCAGTCGTTTGATCCAGTGTCCAAAGTTCTAAATGTTAACCAAACGTTCTTGTTCTACGATTTTTGACAATTTGTAAATGTTCATAATTTTATACATTCAAAAAGCTTTATTTAAAAGCATTATTTTTCTTTGCCTCACACACCATTTCAATCAGAAATACCATTTCCATGCTACAATTTTTTGAAAAATTTCAAAGATGCCATTTTGCAAAAAAATTCAATTCCAAAATGGCCGAAGATTAGCAAAACTGTTAACTGCCCATAACAAACAATGATGCAAAGTTTCGTGCAAATCAGTGATGGTCGAATTTTTCCGATTCGTCATTTAGCGTGGAACTGCTCGAATTTCGGAAAGATATTCTTAAGTCTACCTGTTTCCAACAGTTTTTCTAGGTCGTTCGCCCTGCTGTAAAAGGAAATAATTTATGCGCAGCATTCCAAATTCAGCAAGCTTCGTTAAATATGAATATAATTACAATCATCCGAACGTGCACAAAAAAAAAATGCACATCCGACCACATCAAATTTTAACTTAATTACTGTCACCCCCGGGCCGAGACCGCCAGCGGCAGTTGATATTTAATTATCACGCACGAACAACCAAGCTCATTTCCCCTCCCATCAACGACATAAACTGATTACAATTTTTTTTGACCTAAATTTTCTCTCCATCATCGTTACAGGTCGGCCACATACCGCGAAACATCTGTCGGGGACAGTTTAAAATCCCCCCGGGGGTCGTCCGCGCCAAGGCCACCACCAGTCGCACATTCGCAATCAAATTGAAACTGCTGTTGTTTGGTGGGTGAGAAGCCCTCCCGTTACTGCAAATGGATGAGGAACTCGAGAGGAAGAAGCTATGAGTAGTAGTGGGCCTTTGAGGCCCCACCCAGCAAGCGAAGAAGCAGACCGCAAGATGGCAGCAGTAGGTTTAAGCAGCAGCAGCAGCAGCAGCAGCAGAGGTAGTGGATTGATATCAAGCAGAGTGGGCCAACAGCAGGTGGTGGCGACTGAACGCAGCACGGCCGGCAAGACTGGGAAGAGGAGAAGGCCGACGGTGGCAACCAGAACGACTAGAGCTAACGGAAGCAGCGCCATGACGTCGACGAGAACAGTGTCCGATTTTGTGTTCAACTTTCATTTTCTTCTTTCGATCGTTCTGCTGATTATCCTCGGCGGCGATTTGACAACATTACGTGGCGGCGTCGGCGGCGGCGTCTGGGCGGAGGAAACGGAACCTTTCGGTGAGTACCCCCACTCTCTGTTGATGATTGTTAGTGGATTTCTTCGATCTCGAGGTTGTGCGAAACGGAAATCGAATCCCCTGCCGGTTTCGGCAATCTAAACGCGATTGGATTCACTATTCCCTCCCGGGTCGGTCGGTGGGGGGAATTCCGAAAATCGAAAAATCCGGTTTTACGACCTATGCCATTAAAAGCGGAGTTGCCGCGGGAAACGGAGATAACACACAGCGCAGAATGTGTCCCAGTTCGATTTGCGATGCGATTTCCCGGGAAGCCCTCCTCCCCCGATAGAGCCGTCGTAATTTTTAAACTGCAGAAATTTCACGTCTGACGAAGGAAATCGATTTTCGTTCGATTATTTGTTTGGGAAAGTTAGTAGCATTGGCGGTTGTGACGGTTCTCTTGGGAAAGTTCATTTTCCGGGTGACAAATTCTGTATGGCGTTTGCTGCTTCCATTGATTTTTAAGATGCGATTTTTCGTTTCTTTTGTTGTTGTCGTTATAAAAAAAAAGTTCAGAATGGTGTTCTCTCTGTGCACGACAGCATCGGTTACGACCGACATGAAAATATTTGCGCGCTTTCATGCACAAGAAGGAAAGTCGTAAATCATTATTATTATTATTGTTGTTGCTGTTGCGGTGCCGATGTACTTGTGTTCGACAATGGGGAGGAAAGCGCAATGGACGAAAAAGCTTTTGAATTATGGTAACCATTAATAATCGATGCTAGCCCATTATTTCGGTGCGGATTTCGCTACCGATCGGAGGAAAAATGGAGTTCATAAATTGATGATACATACCAACTGGGTTTTGCTGTCGAACATGCATCGTAACCGTCTATTGACGGAAGACAATTTAAAGATTAAATAAGTGAAATTGCATTGACCTAATGGCAGAGTACAGCCATCTCTGCTTTATTCGATGTTCTCTAACGTGATAATTTCCTTAATTCTATAAAAATCCGGGCGCCATTGGGGTAGCTAATGGGGGTGCCATTATTATATAGGCCCCTCCCCCAGAATATTTGAGTTTTTTTTTATTTGACACGCCGATTTTTTTTAAGTTGACTACTCATGTTCTGGACTAGAAGGGTATTTTTTGCAACATCTGGGAATTTCGTTAAACTTCAAGGACATCTACGAAACTCAGGGAACATCGTAGAAATTGAAGAAACTTAGTAGAAATTCTGGGAACTTCATAGATCTTCATAAAAAATCGTAGAAACAAGGAATTTGTATAAGTTCTTTAAGTTCTTTGAGGAGCTTCGTAGAAATTAAGGGAAAATTATTTTATTTCAGGGAAGCTCATTAGTGATTGGGAACCTCTATATAATTTCAGGGCACTTTTCGGAAGCCTAATGGACTTGGAACAGTTGTGGAAATTATGAACAAATTAAAGATGCGTGTGAATGTTTGCACCATTGAGCAATGTTAAAATTAAAAAAAAATCTCAAAAATTTCGTTTTTGAGTTTTTTTTTTTATTTTTCTTCAAAGGGGGATGTTTCTCAGAGTCTTAAACTATGTTAAGACGAGTTTCCAGTTTCCACTTGCTGCAATTACGGCCTCCACACGCTTCCGGAATGCACGGCAGGTTCTAATAATGTAGTCTGGATCAATTTCTGTTTGTCTGAGGCTTGCTGTACTCGGGTTGCGTTTAGAACAGGCCTTGGCCTTCATGACGCGCCATATTGAGTAATCCAGCGGATTAAGATCGGGGCTGGATGGCGGCCACATATCCTTCGCCCAGAACGGAAGATGCTCCTGCAACCACTTCTGAGTGCTGTTCGAGGTGTGGCACGGAGCCCCATCTTGTTGAAATACAACATTTGGCCTTGGACCGTACTGTTCTTTGATCCACGGAAGAACATACTTACTTAAAATCCCGATGTAGACCTCCGTGTTGACCTTGTCGCCTTCTGGAATGAACACCGGGTCAATTTTTTTTTTGCCATCGGAAGCCACCAATCCAAACACCAAAACGCTAGCAGGATGTTTGGTCAGATATACGTTCTTGTGCTCGTCGGCCACATCTTTTACCGGAAGAGAACTAATATACCGGTCGGTTCGGGAAGAATTTGATACGGGACCGACGGTAAACATGTTCTCGTCGGTGAACAGGATTATCGGATTTTTTCGCTTAAGGAAGTTCAAGATTTTCTTGCATCGTTCGACTCGTAGCTCCCGGATGCGGTTGGTAATCATGTGAGTTTTTTTTCCGTGCCCTCGACTTCGCCCCGCAATCTTCCTTTACGATCTTCCGTGCCGTAAAGTCACTGATCCCGTGTTCCTTTGCCATTTTCCTTATTGAACACACTGGATTCACCTGAATTTCTTTTTGATAGCAGCGTCCTTTCTTTTCTCGGTCTAAAACACTTTTGACGGTCGACCGGGACACTCCCACGGCGATTGAAATGTATTTTTGTGACATTTTCGCGTGGGACAAATCACGAATACGCTGCCACTTCGTCATGGTGCAACTGTCAAAATAAGCAAATCATTTTCTTTTATACACAGCCTACTACGGTATGAGCTATAGGTTACGTGCATGCAAAGAAAACCAAGGCATTGTATGCACAGGTAAAACAGGAACCTTATTTGTACGATGGTGCAAACATTATCTCGCATACTTTGAAAGTTCGTGGAAAATCAACAAGAAACGTAGAAATGCAGCAAACTTTGTAGATGTTTTGCGAATTTCGTTGCATTTTGAGGAGCTGCGTAAAACTTCATATAAGTGTAAGGAATTTTGAAAAAGTTCTGGGAATTTTGAAGATGATCTAAACATAGTTCAATAAATTTATAAGAACTTCAGGGATCCTTGCTTCAGTTTAGGGAGCTTCGTTGGAGTTTGTCACAGATCGTACTTCAAAAAATCTCAATGAACTTCTTGAAGGTGTTGGGAACTTATATTTCAAGGAACTTTCTAGATATTCAAGAATATTTGTCTCTATACAAATGATGGATAAAGATATACATAGGCTTACGAGAGATATCAACTTTTTTAGATACAAAATCTTGAAAACATATGGGTCTTTCCAGCTCAAGTGGGTACACACCACCTGTGGTCGATGTCACCTATTTGCGCCAAATTTGACCAAAACGCTTATTTTGGCATTCTGAACTAACGCCTTTTATATTTGGCTCTGAAGTGCCTAGATCCCTCTCGGCTACAACCCTGGATTTTCGAGATCTTTAAAAAGTTAATCTTTCAGAAGAGATTGCTCCACAACCACATAATCTATTCGTGATCTTACAACGTCAATTTGAAGGTTTTTAATGTATCTCATAGGAACGTAGTTTTCATTTTTAGGAACACAATTGAATTATGGAAAGAAGTAAATGAATGAGCTAGTTATGATCTCATATAATGTGAACATGAAGGAATTCAAGGAGAAATAAATGAATAATAAAAAGCTTTGATTATTCACCATAAAAGCTCAAAAGTACCACTCACTCATCTGGTCATATCTCGAAAATCCATTTGTCCAAATCATTTGCCTTTGGAAACACATCAAGTAGAAGAGTTTTTCAAAGTGTGGTGAAAATTTGAGCCCAAAATATTAAAAAATAAAAAAAACCCGCTCATTCTGAAAAAAAGTAATTTTTTTACAATTTGGATACCTGCCGGTAATCAGTCTGTTTACTGTTGTTACTATAACAAAAACAGGATGTGGGTACACTTATGTGAATCTACATTAAAAAAAAACCTTCAAATTGACGTGCTAAGATTACGAATGGCTTATTTGGTTGTGGAGCAATCTCTTCTGAAAGTTGCAGTTTTTAAAAATCTCGGAAATCCAGGGTTGTAGCCCAGAAGGATCTAGATTTAGAGCGAAATAAAAAAAGGCGTTTGTTCATATTGCAAAAACAAGTGTTTTGGCCAAGGCTCAAATCGGTGACATCGACCACAACTTTTCAAAATTCTGTACCCACTTGAGCTGGAATGACCCATATGGGTTTGGGATCTCAATGCAATTTTTATTTTAAAATTAAGAATGTTAAGAATTGTGCATGAACATATATCTTGTAGATTTTCCTCATACATTTATGAAATTTATTCATTGTTCACTTTATCATGTTTCAAAGCCAGCATTTTAAAAAATTATAAAATTCAAACTGGCTGGTTCCCATGTCTGAGATTTAACTGATGATGAAATATTCAAAATCTAAAAAAGCTAGTTACAAAGTTCATTGAATTACCTAACTCTGAGAATTTTCTTAAGTTTGAAATGCTATATTTATGAGACCCAGACGCTATGTGTCTTAATTACAAAACCCATTGCTTGTTCAAAATCAGTAAGCTTTTAAGGCATCCACAATCGAGGTCCCAATCGTTGTTATGAAATAAATATAATACAATTTAAATACCATTAAAATAATAGCAAGCCTCATTGTCATATTATTGGTCACAGGAACCGAAAACAAGTTGCCTTGACGCAATTTGATTGAATAGCATCTTCGCGAGTTTTTATTTAACCGAAGCTTAGCAAAATAAAAAAAAATACAACAGCACGTCGGGCGCCTCATTGCGGAAAACTAAACCAAGATTTTTTTTTGTATGAATGCTTGTATGAAAAATGGTGGGGTTGTGTACAAGACACGACCGCATGGTTGACGTAGACTACTTTAAGCTATTTAGTGAACTTCTTGTTCATTTTTCTTGATATTTATTTAAAGTAATTAGTAGTAGTAAAATTTACATTTATTTGTTGATTCATTATGTTTTAACATTGTTTTTGCAGTACAATTGTTTAGTCTTTGGCTCTTCGTCTTTGTTCGGTTTAATTGATTATTCTAGTATGACGATTGCGTTTAGCGCTAATTTACAGAATACTCTTTTAAGGGTTTGTTAAGTTTGAGTTTTAAAATTTGATAGCCTACCTACTTAACCTAAAGCATAATCTAACGTGCCAGATTCCTGATGATCTGCTGATCGGATCGCCTACAGCAATCTCTGAACCTTGCGATGGAGTCAGCTCTCCGTAACTCCAGTGTCTGAA